TTTTCTAAGAATGTAGAAATCTTTAAACAATGAATATGACTCTTTTTGTGTCAAGAATTTAAGTCAATTAAAGAATAAACAAGATGATTATGGTATAATAACATTTTCCCTTTTTCATAGAATGTGAAGTTTATAGTGTCTTATAGATCACTTCATTTAGAACGAGCACTGGGTATTATATGCAACTAAGGAATCACTAAATTCTATCCCTGAAACTAATAATACAGTGTATATTAACTAAATTGAATTTAAATAAGGAATTTAAAGGAAGAAAATAACAATTTTTATCTATTTCATGTATTTATTTAAAAAAATTCTTTAATATTTATTGTGCATAATTCGTTTTTATATTATATTAATTTATAAGATATATATCTGTTTATGTATGTGTGCATTTCCTTTTTTATAAAAAAGGAAGGTTTTATTTTATTTATTTATTTATTTATTTATTTATTTATTTATTTATTTATTTATTTATATTTATTTTTTGTATATATTTTATTGAAGTTTGATTTGCCAACACATAGTATAACACCCAATGCATCAAGTGCCCCCCTCAGTGCCCAACACCAAGTCACCCCATCCTCCCACCCACCTCCCCTTCCACTACCTCTTGTTAATTTCCCAGAGTTAGGAGTCTCTCATGTTTTGTCACCCTCCCTGATTTTTCCCATTCATTTTTCTCTCCTTTCCCCTATAATCCTTTTCACTACTTTTTATATTCCCCGTATGAGTGAAACCATATAATGATTGTTTTCTAGCTCTTTTAGATTAAGGTTAGATTCTGTATTTGAGACTTTTCTTACTTCTTGAGGAAGGCCTCTATTGCTATATAGCATCCTCTTAGGATCACTTTTGCTGCATCCCAAATGTTTTGAACTGTTGTGTTTTCAGTTTCATTTGTTCCCATGAATTTTAAAAATTCTTCTTTATTTTCCTGGTTGACTCATTCCTTCTTTAGTAGGGTATTTTTTAACCTTCATGTATTTGTGGTCCTTCCAAATTTCTTCTTGTGGTTGACTTCAAGTTTCATAGCATTGTCTTCTTAAAATATGCGTGGTATAATCTCAGTCTTTTTGTACTGGTTGAGAACTGATTTGTGGCCCAGTATGGGATCTATTCTGGACAATGTTTCATATACACTCAAAAAGAATATATATTCTGCTGCTTTAGGATGGAACACTCTCAACATATCTGTGAAGTCCATCTGGTCCAGTGTGTCATTCAAAGCCCTTGTTTCCTTGATCTTCTGCTTAGATGACATGTCCTTTGCTATTAATGGGGTGTTAAAGTCCCCTCTTACTATTATTAATGAGTTTCTTTAATTTTTAATTAATTGGTTTGTATATTTGGCTGCTCCCAAGTTGGGGGCATAAATATTTACAATTGTTACATATTCTGGTTGAATAGACCCTTTTATTATGATATAGTGTCCTTCTTCATCTCTTCTTAGAGTTTTTGGTTTAAAATCTATTTTGTCTGATATAAATATGGCTACTCTAGCTTTCTTTTGACGTCCATTATCATGATGAATTGTTCTCCACCCCTCACTTTGAATCTGGAGATGTCTTTGGGTCTAAGATTAATCTCTTGTAAATGACATATAGATGAGTCTTTTTTAAAAAAAATCCATTCTAATACCCTATGCCTTTTGATTGGAGCATTTAGTCCACTTACATTAAGAGTAATTGCTGAGGGGATCCCTGGGGTGGCTCAGCGGTTTAGCGCCTGCCTTTGGCCCAGAGCGCAACCCTGGAGTCCCAGGATCAAGTCCTACTCGGGCTCCCAGGATGAAGCCTGCTTCTCCCTCTGCCTGTGTCTCTGCCTTTCTCTCTCTCTCTCTCTCTCTCTCTCTCTCTCTCATAAATAAATAGATAAATCTTTTAAAAATCCTAAAAAAAAGAGTAATTGCTGAAAGATATGAATTTAGTGCCATTCTATTGCCTGTAAAGTTACTGTCCCTGTAGATTGTCTCTGTTCCTTTCTAGTCTTTGTTACTTTTGGCCTCTCTCTTCCCTCAAAGGATCCCCTTTAATATTTCTTACAGGATTGTTTTAGTGTTCACAAATTCTTTAGCTTTTGTCTGTACTGGAAACTCTTTATCTCTCCTATTCTAAATGAGAGCCTTGCTGGATAAAGAATTCTTGGCTGCATATTTTCCCCATTTAGCACCTTGAATATATTATGCCAGTCCTTTCTGTCCTGCCAGGTCTCTGTGGACAGATCTACTGCAGGTCTGCTGTCAGCCTTATGTGTCTATCCTTGTAGGTTAAGGACCTCTTATAGGTAAAGTAGGTTAAGGACCTTAATCTACTTTCAGGATTTTTTCTTTATCTTTGTAATTTCCAAGATTCAGTAATCTGCCAAGGTGTTGAACTATTTTTGATAATTTTGATGGGAGTTCTCAGTGCCTCTTGGAGTTGGATGCCTATTTCCTTCCCCTGATTAGGGGAGTTATCAGCGATAATTCATTTAAATAAACCTTCTACCTCTTTTTCCTGTTGCTTCTCATTTCTGGGACTTCCAGAATATGGATGTTATTTTGCTTTATGGAATGACTGAGTTCCCTATGTCTATGTTCATGATCTATTTTCTTTCCTTCGTTTTTTTCAGCTTTTTCATTATCCATCACTTAATCTTCTGTATCACTGATTCACTCTTTTGGTTTATTTATCCTTCTTTTTATGGCCTCCATTTGGGACTGCATCTTGGTAATAACATTTCTAATTTTGACATGACTAGATTTTAGTTCTTTAATTTCTACAGTAAGGGATTCTCTAGTGTGCTCTATGCTTTTTTTCAAGCCCAGCTAGTGTCTTTATAATTACTGTTTTAAGTTGTAGTTCATCTTACTTATATCTGTATTGATTAAATACCTGGCAGGGAGTACTGCCTCCTGTTCTTTCTTGTGGGGTAAATGTCTCCATCTTGTCATTTTTTCTAGAAAAGAAAAGATGAAGGAAAAAGAAAATAAAGAAGAAAAACAATAACAGCAACAAAAAATCAAACAAAAAAACTAGATCCTGGGAGGGTTTTGGTCTTGTTAAAAGGACAAGAATCCAAAAGGAAAGTAAAACAATAAAATAATATGAAAAGAAACAAAAAATATAAGGTATATAAAAAAGAAAAAAGAAAACAATGGAAAAAATAAGAAAATAACAAAAAATTATACTAAAAAATTAAATGAAAATATAAAGAATGCTATATATTGTTTTCCTCAAGAGCTGAAGCTTTTATAGCCCTCTATGATTAAAACCTGGTGAGAATGAATTGTTTGTGCTGGTTTTCCAGAGGAAGCATCTGTTGCACTGATTCTCAAGTGGTTCTGCCCTAGTGGAAATGCTTCTCCAGGGCACAGGGAAGCAGGGCTCAGTACAAGCAGTTCTAGACTTCAGTAGGTGGCACTGTTTTGGGCCCTGAAGGCTTTTCAGCACTGATGGGTAGGATTTATATTGCTGCGCCCTCTCTAGCTTCTGAGCTAACCTGAAAGCATTGGTCTCCCATTCCAATGAGCCCTCACAGAAAAGCAATTAATCACTCTTGTCTTCTTATCAACTCTGAGTCCATCTGGCCTGTGACTGAGCATTTTTATCTTGAGCATGTGACTGAGTTTCAGTACTCCAAATTTTAAGGACTCCCTTGAGGTGGATCCCTTGAGGTGGATCCATACTGTTCCTCACAGGAGAGGGGCAGGATTTCTCATGCTTCTGCCTTTTGTTGGACTCATCCAAGGAGAGAGGTCCTAGGACCATGCCACAGTTTGCAGTATATGGCAACACAGAGCAGAATGCTGGCACCTAGACTGTTCTCATGCTGGCTTCCTCCCTCTTATGTCTGGGAACTCTACTACATTCAGGCACCCCCATTCTTCTTGGGACCCTGGGGATCCTGAGACTGTGTTGTCATGCCTGGGATTCCACCCGCTTCACCAACTTTAGGCCAGGCCCTTCCTCCACTGTAGCAGACTTCTAAAAGTGTCAGTGTGGGGCTCTGCTCCTTATAATACTTTGCAGTAGCCTCCTTAAGCAGGCTCATTCTCATCCCCCATATCCTCAGTTTTATCACACAGAGTTCAAGTCTCTGCACCTCCTGCCTTCCAAGCCTCTGCACCTTCCTGCCTTTCTACTCCTAGAGGTGCAGCATTTGTGTTCTTAGATCTTTGATTTCTCAGGTTTTCAGCATGATTTGACAACTGTCCAGTTGTACTCGAACGAGACAAACTTAGGCTTCTCCTACTCCTCTGCCATCTTTATTCCTCTCCTTTACGTACAAATCTAAATGATTTTTTTGTAGAAAGAAAAATGCAAAATGTGCTGGGAGGTTTCTCTCCCAAGGGGTACAGCCAGGTGACAGATTAAAGAAGTGGTTATGAGCTTGACATGAAAAACTCCCCTTGCTAAAAGAATAGAACTTAAATGTTCTCACCACACAAACAAAGAAACAAAGTATGTGAGACAATGCAGGTGTTAGCTAATGTTATGGTGGTAATCATTTTGCAGCATAAAAATGTATCAGATCAAAATGTTGTACACTTAAACTTACAATAGGTTATATGTCAATTATTCTCAATAAAACTGGAAAAAATTTCTGCTCTCTGAAAGTGTAGCCTCATGGATTCCTTGCTCCTTGTTTTGAACAACAGATTCCAAGTTGTTTTATTTTTTTTTTAATTTTTCTTTCCCGTTAAGTTTATTTAGATAGTAAAAATCTGGAGTCTGTATTCCCTACGAAGTTGCGTGTAGTTCAAGAAAAACACAAGAGAAACGTGTAACACGGACTAACTGCAAGACCTAACGAGTCAGGGAACGTAATGAAAACCATAGGCCCGCCCTGTGTATAGGCAAACTCAGGACTTCAGGGGCGCAACTCCAAGTTGTTTTAATTGAAAATATATGTTTATATGGAAACACACACATACACACATATAGATATATATCTTATAAATTATAAATATAAAATGTGAATTATACACAAGAAATATAAATATTAAAGTATATTTCAAAGTGAATATATGAAATGTATATATGTTATTATTTTTAAAATTCTTTATTTAAATTCAATTTAGTTAACTTACACTGTATTATTAGTCTCAGGGCTAGAATTTAGTGGTTTCTTAGTTGCATATAATACCCAGTGCTCATTAAATCCAGTGCCCTCCTTAATGTCCATCACCCAGTTCGCCCATCCTCCCATTTACTAGGACCCCTCAGTTTGTTTCCTGGAGTTAAGGGTCTCTAATATGCCAACAGATGCTTCTAAGGAGAGGTTGTATTGAGTGGATTATCTTTTCAAAACTGTCTTACAACTCCATAGCTCACTCAGAGGAGATTCCAAGCCCTTCTAATGTTAAGGCCTAACATCTGACTTCATTTCAATTGCTGTCTGCTCCAGCTACAGTGGCCTCCTCACCCTTCCTTGAACACAAGACATGCTCTTGCCCTAGTGCATATGCACTAGAGTTTCCCCTGCCTGAAAGGACTTCCCCCAGATAACCACCTAAACAATTGTTTCATGACCTTCAAATATCTCAGAGGTCACCTTCTTGGTGGGCTCACACTAACCGCTATGGTAAAGTAGCCATGTTTCCTGTCCCCACACAGTTCTAATCTGGGTCACCTTCCTCGAAGCACTTCCCAACTTCTAACATACACTCTTCCCTTGTTCTCTGCCCCTTACTACCAGAACATGTGCCTCACAAGGTGGGCAAATGTAGCCCATTTTTAGTCCACCGAAGTGTCTTAGATGTTAAAATAGTGTTCCTGTGTCTGACAATTATCAGTTGAATGAGTGGCCAGCATACTGCCCCCTCTCTCTTCCAGATGACCCTCAGGCCACAGCTGTTACATGGTGTTGCTTTTCTCCCCATTGCTGATCTCCCCCCACAACCTCCATTGATTGCCTCTATTCCATACCATCCCCCCTGCACAGCATAGGAAACAATTATAGTTCTCCTTCAGAAAAAGTTGTACCTAGGCTAATGGGTCATATATGCCAGACAAATGTGAAGTGAAATTAGACGCTGCTTTATCACTCTATGAATTAGAAGTGGAACCAGAACTAGATCACTAGATCTATGGGTAGCGAGCAGGTAGATGAGCAGAGAAGACAGAAACTAACTAATTTAATAAAGATGAGAAACAGTCACATCCTTTCTCTAACTCCAGAATCTGCCTTTTTAAAAAAGATGGGGAAACATGGAAAGAATAATCCAGAATAATGCTAGAAGGAGGAGAAGAGATGAATGATCTGAAAATGCATCTTGTGATACCACAGAGACTCCTATGTGCAAAGATTCACTGGGTCTTGTGGAAACAATGAGAGGCTTAGGACTCCTGCGACCATCATAGACAGGGGAACACCAGAGAAAATAAGACCAGAACTTACACACGAGAGTAAAAATAGACCCAATTCTCTATATTAACAAAGAGAAAGAACACCCAAAAGCTGGGGGCTGAGGGCTTGATCCAAGCTGGAGCCTAAGCTGACCTGGTCATAGGAAGCTCTTGATGCCCATGGTCCTAAAGACAGGTGATGTCTGAGTCCCTGTGATTACAGGTCCTGGTGTGACAAAGTTCCACTGAAGTGACCAGGCTATAGCAAAGATGACTCAACTAGGGAGTGACCATGTTAAAGCCCATAATGTACTGAGTACTGACCAGGCAGGGTTTTGTCCACACTTGGCTCCTCACAGCCTCTCCTGGCCCACCTACAACAGACAGCACAGCAATCTGGCAGATTCTGGAAGGTTCTCAGTGCTTCCATTTATTTTGTATCTCAACTTTAAGAGTCTTCTCCTTCTCCACACCAATTTTATATGACAAGAATAGGAAAAACAAAGTCATATCCAGATTTTCAAAAGACAAGTTAAATATTATTTCCCAGCCAAATGTGAAGTAAAGACAAAGATGGTGATGACCCAGTCCCATCTCTGCTGGAAGAGGAAAGCAGATTAGGGAAAGAACATAGGTAAGTTGGGGGAAGGGACATGATGAGTAGAGGTGGGCCAATTTCCCCACCTGCTTGCATTATGCTAATAGGAACAGAGTCACTTTCAGACACCATTAGCAGATAGAGATATCCGGGGCTCTTGAAGTAAAAAAAAGTGGGAGTGTGAACAAATCTTGCATCACTCAGAGCCCCACAAGGCAGCTGGCTTGCTCTGTGAAAGAAAATAGTCATGAACAAATTCAGGTCAATCATGTTAAGTGCTGACATCTCCACATGCTTAAAATGTTCCACTCAAAGAATCCTCATAACCCAGTCATGTCCCCTCTGCCCCAACCACTCCCCTTGGCTTCAGGCCCTCCAGGGTCTCACCATTAGGAGCCATGACAGACATCTGAGAGTCCTGAGCACTGTCATTGCCTACGGTAGAACAACAGGATGTGGTCAAAACCCACAAGAGATGAGACTGCCAGGGTGGCTGAGTTCCCCCATGGGGTCTTGTCTATACTATCCCAGGGTCTCAAGGATCACTCCCTCCATTCTTATTTTCAGCCTGTGAGTAGCTCCCTCCTTTTCTGCCTGTGGGAAGAAAATATCATGTCAGAGGCTAAGGAGAAGGCTGGGCTATGGTATCCAAAGGAATACCCTAGTCCTGTACCAAAATGCAGTTTCCAGGACTGTTAACTGAAGACTCACGGCTGTATCGGAAACCACAGAGAAAGTATATGTAGGGGCACTGGGCCAATTGTCTTCCCGGAGGTCTGTCTGTATCAGGGAATTCCCCCCACCTTCAGCTGCTAGGGCTCAGGTCCCCAATGCCAGAATAGAAAGGCGAAAAATCTGTCCTTCATTTGCACAAGTCTTTACTAAGGAGTGAATGTTAGCAGCTGGCTAGCACATGTATGTGGATGGTACCTCTTTTTCTGTCTCTTTTTAAAAGATTTTATTTATGTATTCATGAAAGACACACAGAGAGAGGCAGAGACATATGCAGAGAGAGAAGCAGGCTCTGTGCTGAGCAGGGAGCCTGATGTAGGACTTGATCCCAAGACTCCGGGATCGTGACCTGTGCCAAAGGCAGACGCTCAACCACTCACCCAGCTACTCCAGATGGTACTCCTTATTAACAAGACAGGACAAACTTCTACTTTGGGCTTGAAACCTCCCAGTAGGACAGGAAAACTCAGATTCCCCCCACTCCCTTCTCTACCTGAGTGTTTCTTCCTCCACATCACAATTCCAACCAGCATAGCTCCAGTGATCACAAGGAGAACCAGGCCAGCAATGATGCTCATGATGGGGATGGTGGACTGAGGAGGTGGCTCTGGAAAGGGAAGGGAAGGCGAGGGGCCCAGACCTCAGGCTTGAGTCATGACCTCACAGTTGTTCTCTGAGAAGAGTGTCTACCCCAAACCCCTCCTTACCCCATCTCAAGGTGATGGGCTTGGGCAGGCTCTTGTGCAGAATATGGCATGTGTATCTCTGCTCCTCTCCAGAAGGCACCACTACAGCTGCCCACTTCTGGAAGGTCCCATCTCCTCCAGGCCTGGTCTCCACAAGCTCTGTGTCCTGGGTGTGGTCCTCCCCATCACGCTGCCAGGTCAAGGTGATCTCTGCAGGGTAGAAGCCCAGAGCCCAGCACTTCAGGGTGACCTCATGCTCAGAGATGGGACGGCGGGTCACAGAGGTTTTGGGGGGGTCTGAAGAAGAAGAATCAGAAAATCGACACTTTGGGTTACCTTCATGGGTCATTAAAGCAGCACTTGTGACCATGCTGAGGATGGAGAGGACAATTGGTTTAGAAGGAAAAAGCACAAAACCCTGACACCAGCCTAGACTTGGTTGTCTGGAATAACATTTTAGAATCAGGGAAAGATCCCAGGACAGGAGAGTGTAGGTCTAGAGTGGGGAACACACTAACGGTCTGGACTGCAGCAGAGGGTCAGTGACTCAGAAAACCTGGAGTCAGACCTCCAAAAATGTTCTCCGATGGAGAACAAGGCCTTGAGAAGAAAAGCCATGGTTCACAAGGTGGTTTCCAGGATGGAGGAGACCTCTGATGAGTTATTTCAGGGATGGTCTCCACCTGCCTCCAGGGAGACTGGATTCCTCAATTGTCCTCTAGAGGAAAGCAGCTCTTTTGAGGAATTACTCTGTAGTGGGAATATGAATGTTGAGACGGATCTCTTCCTCCCCACCTGTGGGAGGGGGCAGTATTCTGACACTAAGTCCACCCTCCCTTCCTTGGGGGAAGCCAGCCCCAGCAGAGTGAAGATGGGGAGGCCCCTGGTACCTGCGCGCTGCAGCGTCTCCCTCCCATTCTCCAGGTGTCTGCGGAGCCACTCCAAGCACCTGCCCTCCAGGAAGTTCTTCTTGTTCTCAGCTACACCGGCCGCCTCCCACTTGCGCAGAGTGATCTGAGCCACCGGGTCCTCCACGATCCAGGAGCTCAGGTCCTCGTTCAGGGAGATGTAATCCAGGCCGTCATAGGCGTTACGCTGGTACCCGCGCAGGAAGCGCCCATCAGGTCCCAAGTCGCAGCCTATTATACTCTGGAAGGTGTGAGACCCTGGCCCCGCCCCACGATGTGTCAGCACGAAAGCCTACAACTGAAAACAAAACCCAGTAGCGTCCCCAGGAGTCTCTTTCCCTTTCTGGGACGGGTGAGTCCCGCAGCCTCGGGGTGGCACTCGGCCCCGGACACTCGGGGCGACCTCGGCCCGTGGGCGGAGACGGGGATGGTGACCTGGACCCGCCCCCGTGGCTCACCGGTCCTGCTCTGATTGTAGTAGCCGTGCACTTCTTTCAGCCTCCCTCGGAGGACCTGTGTGCAGGTCCTGTAGTCCAGCGTGCGCTCTTCCCAGTACTCAGGCCCCTCCTGCTCCATCCACCGCACCAGCGGCTCAGGCCACCGACTCTCGCGTTCGCTGTCGAACCGTTCGAACGGCGTGTCGTCCACGTAGGCGACTCCCCAGTGGCGGGGCTCCCCGTGGCCAGGCCGGGATACGACGGTGTTAAAAAACCTCAGGGAGTGCGAGCCTGCGGGCGCCAAGGGGCTGAGCCTCCTCCCGGGCGGGGGCCCCGGGGGCTTAGGGGCTGTTCGGTGGGGAAGGGGCCAGGGGCGGGAGGTGAGTGGGGCCGAGGGGTGGGCGAGGCGGAGGTGAGGGCCTGGGTCCATCCCGGGTGGGGTAGGGCTTCCTCCCCGCTCCCCGCCTGCGGCGCTTTCTCTGCGGACCCCAGGCTCACCTGCACTGGCCTGGGCCAGGCCCAGGGTCCCCGACAGCAGCAGCAGGAGGAGGGTTCGGGGACGCATGACAGGCATCCAAGTGTTCCAGGCAGCAACTGAGTTGCAGAGGAGACACTGTCAGCTCTGAGCCACGGTGAGGTGACGCCAATTGGCTTCTCTAGAAACCCGACAGGCAATGGGAGTGCCACCCGGAGTCGCGTCACGAGTATCCCCGCAGAAGGACCTGAAGCAGGATGTGAGAGGAAGTGAAACCAGCGCATGTGGGGATTCCCCAAGCAGGGCTTCCCCGGCCCCAGACACTACCTTTGCGCTGACACCCTGAGAGACAGGCCCGGGGATTTGTGACTTTGTCCTTGACCCCTCTTCTCCTGCAGGGAGTGCTCTTGTCACATGGTCTCACTGCTGCAGTCAGTGATTCTCAAACATTTCGTTGTCAGGATATCTATGAACTAGGGGTGGTGGAAGGGGAGGAGGGCGGGGTGTGGGGGTGAATGGGTGACGGGCACGGAGGGGGACACTTGACGGGATGGGCACTGGGTGTTATTCTGTATGTTGGTAAATTGAACACCAATAAAAATTAATTTATAATAAAAAAAAGGATATCTACACAGTCGTACAAATTAGTGAGGACCTCCAAGAAAGATTTTGTGTGTGTGGGTTATGGTTATATCTATCAATATTGCCTGGGACTCCAGGATCAGGCCCTGGGTCAAAGGCAGGCGCTAAACCGCTGAGTTACCCAGGGATCCCTCTTCTTCTGTTTTGAATGATAACATTGCTGGATAGGGTATTCTTGGCTGCAGATCTTCCCCCATTCAGCATGTTGAATATATCATGCCCCCTCTCCTCTGCCTCACCATGTTTCTCCAGAGAGATGTTGAAAACCTTATTGGTCTTCCCTTGTAGGTTAGAGACTTCTTTTGTCTTGCTGCTGTTAGGATTATTCTTTATCTCTATATTTTGCAGATTTAACTACAATATCTTGGTGTTGACTTGCTTTTGTTGATTTAGATGAGAGTTCTCTGTGTCTTCTGAATTTGGTTGACTATTTCCTTCCCTAGATTAGGGAACTTTCAGCTATAATCTCCTAAAATAAACCTTCTGTTCCTTTTTCTCTCTTCTTCTTCCAGGACTCATATGATATGACTGTTTTTACATATGATTGAGTCACTGAATTCCCTGTCTACTCTCATGATCCAGAATTTTTTCTTTCTTTTTTCAATTTCAGTATGCTCATAATGGTCTTCTATAGCATTTATTTATTTCTCTGCATCTTCCATCTTGTAGTCATTACATCCAGTTATTGCATTTTTGATTTCAGCCTGATAGTTTCTTCACTCATCTTTGTAGTAAGGGTCTCTCTGATGTCTTCTCTGTTTTTCTCCAAGCCTAGCTAATATGATTGTGCTTTATTTATTTTTTTTTTTAAATTTTTTTTTAACTTTTATTTATTTATGATAGTCACAGAGAGAGAGAGAGAGAGAGAGGCAGAGACACAGGCAGAGGGAGAAGCAGGCTCCATGCACCGGGAGCCCGACGTGGGATTCGATCCCGGGTCTCCAGGATCGCGCCCTGGGCCAAAGGCAGGCGCCAAACCACTGCGCCACCCAGGGATCCCATGATTGTGCTTTAAAGTCTGCATCAGGCTTATTACTTGTATCTGTTTTGATTATATCCCTGGCCATGACCTTTTCTTGTTCTTTCTTTTGGGATGGATTCCTCTTTTTTGGCATCTTGACTAGGACTTTGCTTCTTCTCTGTGTTAGGGAAGTCTATTGTGTTTCCCGTCCCTGAGAGTAATGGCTTTATGTAGAAGAGGTCATATAGTGTCCAGGGTCTGGTGCTTCAGAAAATGTCTTTGGTGTGTGCTTCATGTACTCTGACTGTGTTTTGGCTGCTCTGCCACTCAGGCCAATTGTCTGCAAAGATTCTGTTTGCATCCGGAGGAGATCTTTTGGTCTTTGGCCAGAATGTGGTGAGTTTTAACTAGGTATGCTCTGGTCTGCTTGTTTGAGGAGACCTGATGCTATTCCCACTAGAAGTGAAGCTTTGAAGAATTCTGTGGTCAGTAGAATGTGTGGTGAATGCAGGGATTTCTGGTGGTCCTCTGGGAAAGGGACCTGTTGCACTAGTCCTTGGGTACACTTGCCCAAGAAAAGCATTACCATCAGGGTACAGTGAAGAGGGACTTGGTATAAGCAGGTTAGGCAGCCAGTTTGGCAATGTGCTGTTTATGCTGGTTTATGCTGATGAGTAAGGGAGGGAAATAGCACTAGCAATATCCTTTGTCCCCAGAGAGTAGGGTCCATGCTTGCTGCTCTCAGGAAAGCAGTTTCAGAGGAGCAAATAATTTCCCCTCAAGTGTCCCAGTATTTTTTAGGTCTCTGATTTCACACACTGTCTGCATCTGGGTTACTTGCCTGTCTAGAGCAGTGCAGTGCACCTTGGGCTCTAATCCAGACAAGCCTGCTGGCATTTAAAACTCTAAACTTCATTTTTTTTATAAATTAATTTTTATTGGTGTTCAATTTACCAACATACAGAATAACACCCAGTGCTCATCCCGTCAAGTGTCCCCCTCCGTGCCCGTCACCCATTCACCCCCACCCCCCGCCCTCCTCCCCTTCCACCACCCCTAGTTCATTTCCCAGAGTTAGAAGTCTTTATGTTCTGTGTCCCTTTCTGATATCTCCCACACATTTCTTCTCCCTTCCCTTATATTCCCCTTCACTATTATTCATATTCCCCAAATGAGTGAGAACATACACAAACTCTAAACTTCATGATGTGTACAGAAACCCATACTGGTCTTCTGGAGTAGGGTCTCACTGTGGTGGAACCCTTGCATGTTTGACCCAGAAGGGCAGTTTTGTTAGAGTGCAGGGGCATGCGATTTAGAGCAAAGCAGCTTAAAGAGCCAGTGTCCAGGTAAACCACCCCTAGCAGGTGTCTCTGTTCCTATGCTGATGGGTGGAGAAGGGAAATGGTGCCTTCTGGCTCTTTTGTCCCCAGAGAGGCAATGCTACCTCTCAAAGATGTGCTCCAAAAAGTAAAAACGATGTCTCCCCATGCCCCTTAAGTGATCCTCAGATTGTGCTATCTGCCTGGATTACTGGCCTGTCTCTTTTCCAGGAGTAAGGCAGCAACCTCAGATCTCTCTGTCCTAGCCAAGACCAGGGAACCCAGTCTTTGAGCCCCACTGGTTGCAAACACTTACAAAAATCAGCCCTTATTATCATATTATCCCTACCAATGGCTCCTTGTGTGTAGCCTTGTGTTCTCCACTCTCTCTCACCATTCTCTGCAAATGGGGCTCCACCCCTTCAGGAACTGGGATCCCTTTCCCCACAAAGCACATCATCATACTTCTTACCTTCCTCCATGTGGCTTCTTGCCTTCCTCTAGTTGTGCAGTTTGTTCTGTCAGTCCTCAGATCAATTTTTGGGTACTCAGAATAATTTGAGGGTTATTTAGTTGTGTTTGATGGACTAGGGAAGCTTAGGGTCTACTACTATGCTGCCAACCTAGCTACTCCAAATTCTGATTTTAACCATTTGTAAGTGCATAGATCAGTGGCACTGAGTCATTTTGCATTGTCATATTCATTAAGTAAGTTAGTTAACACGTGTTATGCAAGCACCAGCACCATCCATGTCAAGTGCTTTTTCATCTTCCAGACTGAAATTCCACACTCATCAGACATTACTTCCCCATTCCCTTTCTATGGGCTTTAGGCAGCCACCATTCTGTTTTCTTTCTATCTTTGAATTTGTCTATTTTAAGTACCTATGTCTGTGGGACATTACAATATTTGTTTTTTTTTGTGTGTGTGTGTGTCTGTCTTCTTTCACTTAGCATAGTGAATTGTAGGTTAATGTATATTTTAGCAGGTGTTAGAATTTCCTTCATTTTTTAGGGTAAATACAAAACTGTTGTGTGCATATACCTCACTCTGTTCATACATTTATCTGTCAGTACACATGTTGGCTGCTTTTACCTTCTGGCTATCATGAATTATACTGCCATGAGTATGGGCATAGAAGTAACTGTCTGAGTCTGTGATTTCTGTTATTTTATGTATATACCCCAAATTGGAATATGGATCATAAAATAAAGTTTTACTTAATTTCTTAGGAAGTACCATAACATTTTCCATAGCAGCTGTATCATTTTACATTCCCACCAGCAAAACACAGTTGCTCTGATTTGTCCACTGTTCTACATGTGTTACTATTTTTACATTTTGTGATCATAGCTGTCCTGTTGGATGTGAAGTGGTGTTGCATCATGGTTTTAAAATACATTTCCCTAAATGATTAGTGACATTGAATATCTTTTCATGTGCTTATAGGGCATTCACATAGCTTCTTTGGAGAAATGTCTGGTGAGGTCCTTTGCTCATTTTTAATCAGAATGGTGTTTTGTTTTTTAAGATTTTATTCATTTGACAGAGACAGAGCTCAAGAGAGCACAAGCTTGGGCAAGGCAGAGGTAAAGGGAAAAGCAGGCTCCCTGCTGAGCAAGAAGCCTGACTTGGGGCTCTTGCTGCAACAAGGACACTGCTATCATGAAATGAGACAGAACATAAAGACTCCTAACTCTGGGAAACAAACTAGGGGTGGTGGAAGGGGAGGAGGGTAGGGGGTGGGGGTGAATGGGTGACGGGCACTGAGGGGGGCACTTGACGGGAGGAGCACTGGGTGTTATTCTGTATGTTGGCAAATTGAACACCAATAAAAAATAAACTTATTATTAAAAAAAATGAAATGAGGCAAAGACAGACACTTAAACTATTGAGCCACCCAGGTACTCCTGGTGTTTTTGCATGTTTTCTTTTGAGATGTGGAAGTTCTTTATATATTCTGGATGCTAACACTTCATCAAATATATCAATTGCAGATATTTTCTCTTATCTGTAAGATGCCTTTTCTCTCTGCCAATAGTGTCCTGTGACGTGCAAAGTTCTTAAATTTGACAAAGTATAATTTATGCATGTTTTCTTTTCGTGCTCGTGCTTTTGGTGTCCTACTCAAGAAATCATTACCAAATCCAAAGTTATTAAGCTTTCTTTCATGTCTTCCTCCACGAATTTCATAGTTCTAGTTGGTAGTTTAGATCTTTGATCTATTTTGAGTCCGTTTTTGTGTATGGTGTATGTTGTTAAGTGTTCAGTTTCATTCCTTCACATGTGGATATCCAGTTTCACAGCACCATTTTTAAACCACCTGTCCTTTCCCAGCAATGCTCTTGTCATCGATCAAAGATCATTTGAGCACATAAGCAAAGGTTTTTTTCTGGGCTCTGTATTTGATTCCATTATT